ATTCCATTTTATTTGTATAGCGCCAATTCATAACAGAAGTTATCTCAGGACACTTTTCAAATAGAGCAGGTCTAGACCAAACTCCTTATAACATTATTTACAGAGACCCAACAGTTCCCAGTTAAACCTCCCGTAGAACCTTTAAACCTCCAGTAGAACCTTTAAACCTCCATTACTTTTATCTTGAACTATTTAAACGTCTCTGCTAACTGGTTTTCTCTCTTTGTTACCTGCTGTTCAGGTGTTCCCGCTAAGTATGTTTTACTTGGTTCTCTGTGGTGAGGTTTAAACCTTCTGTATTTGAAAAGTGTCCTGAGATAACTCCTGCTATGATTTGGCTTCATACAAATAAAACTGACCTGATAATATTTTAAATAAAACAGACTCCTGGTCTGGATCAGTGTTAGAGATGAAGCTGCAGTGATGACACAGAATAAACATGGAAACTGATCTGTGATCAGAACATCAACACAGATGCTTGTTTCTTCCTGTATGTGGAGGGAAACTACAGGCTGATGTTTCTACTGGTTTCTACCAACTACCCCACTTTACCGGTCTCCATGATGACATGTCAGGTGGGGCTGCAGGCAGCTCACAGTCTGGAGACTGTTGGGAGGGAGGGAGGCTGGACAGCAGCTCCCCCTGCTGGTCCACACACACAGCCACATTATTCATTAACTCTGAGCTATAACAGAGTCCTGTGTGGTGATTCATAAGTGATCAAGGACCAATAAATCAATAAATAGATTGATTGGAAGGAGGTTGATTATGATTGATGTTGTTCTGATCTGACCTGTCGACGTAATGCAGCAGCAGATGCAGAAGAAGAAGAAGAAGGGGAGCTCTCGTCCAGCTTCGCCTGCAGCTGATTGGCCATCAGACGCACTCTGGAGCGACTGGTCCCGCCCACAAACGCCTCATCACACAGCTGTCCGTCAACGACGCCGTTCAGGTCCCACAGCTGCAAATAAAGTTTATTTAAAGAGAAAACATGGAAGTGAAGAGTTAAAGTCTGTCTGACACTCAACTGACCTCCTGCTGCTCTGCGCACGCTTGACTGGTCTTCCTCCTCTTACCCCGAGCGTCTTTCTGCTCCTGTAGAGACACAGAGGAGTTCACTCACAGACAGACAGAATCAGACAGACAGAATCAGACAGACAGGACATTAAAGAGCTGCAGGGACCTTTGGGTTTCTCTTTCTGGACGGACTGAGGCCCAGTCTGCTGAGGAGGGAGGCCGGCGTGATGAGAGCTGATCTCAGGTCAGAAGTCTGAGTCAGACAACCTGAAACATCAGCAGATAAAATTACGACATCCTGTTTGTGTCAGTTTGTGTTTTATGTTAAATATAGTTTGTGGTTTGAGTCCCACCAGCAGGGGGCGGCGTGTCTTTGAGCAGCTGGTAGAACTGAGTCAGGTACATCACCATAGACAGAGAGTCGGGTTCTCCCACCGACGACAGCTCGTCCACCGTCATCAGAGGAGAAATCCCGAACTCTCGTTCTGCAACGTCGAAGCCCAGGCGAGTGTTTTCTTCCACCGACGACTCGTCCAGAGAGTCAAAGTCTCTGAGGACAGACAGGCAGTCGGTCAGTGAGACAGGAAGACAGTGACACAGACAGTCAGTAGAAAAACGTGTTGAAACAATTTTAAACTATTCGTTGATTATTGTTTACAATGAAAAATCAATAAAATGAACAGAAATGTGTCTGTATGTTGTTGTCAGTCAGCTGTTTACATGAGGTCGGGTCGATATCGATGAATCAGAGCACAGAGAGCGAGGCCACTCTTCCAGGAAGTAGTAAGATCGCTAACGGCAACGCCACGGTAACCACGAGTCTGCTCCTGACACCAAGACAGCAGCTTATTGGACTGAGAGAAAGAATCTGCCGAAGAGGACGAGACAGGGGACCAATCAGATCACAGGATGAGACAGGGGACCAATCAGATCACAGGATGAGACAGGAAGTAATTTAACCTTGTCGGAGGAATCTGTGCGACGGTAGACATTTGATGTCACCACAGTCTGTGTTTAGCCCTGCCTCCTCTCCTGCGTCCACCAGGTGTCTCACCTGAAGGAAAAAACACAGTTTTTATTTTATTGGTCGACTGTGTGTGTGTGTGTGTGTCTGTGTGTGTGAGCGTACCTGAGCAGGTGTGACCAGCAGTCTGTTGATGTTCAGGTATCTGGTTGTCGGGTCGACTGTAAACAGACTGAAGTTCTTCTGCAGGTTCTCTGGAGTCGTCTGAGGGAGGAGACGGTACACACTCTCTCTGAGAGACAGACGGGTGGAGAGACAGACAGTCACACAGGTGATACTCAGGTGTGTACAGTGTGTATGATACTGATTATTGATTAGCGATCAGTATATTAACCTCTGAGCAAGGACATCCAGTGGAGCTCCTCCCTGAGACCAACTGAGAACCATCCAACAAGAATCGAGAGCGGCCAGAAAACCTCGAGCTATTCCTGTTCCCATAGGCCAGAAGGGCTGAGGACAGACAGGTAGAGAGGGAGACAGACAGACAGACAGACAGACAGACAGACAGACATCATCAACTGTCTGTCTGATTCAGAAGTTAAATGTTTTTTATTACTGACAATAAATAGATCCTAATAAACTGTCTGACCTCCAGCAGATTGTCTGTCTCTACACCTGTCTTACCTCCATCAGACTGTCTCCCCTAAAGCAGAAACCTGTCTCACCTCCAGCAGACTGTCTCCCACCAGTGTGACCAGCAGCTGGTGTCCGTGGCGTTGGCGAACCAAGGCGGCGTTCTCCGATGCGTACATGCAGGTGAAGTCGAACATGGCGACGTCGGGCTGACCGTAGTGATTCATGGCGAAGTCCAGAGACGGCAGCTGGTGATTGGTGGAGAAATCAGCAGCCTCGCGGGCGTACATCTGCAATGCCTTCTGGTCCACGTTCCCTCGAGAGAGAAGCAGCGCAGTGTCTGCGAAGTCCTGGAACAGGAAGACCAGATTCTGTAATCTGAAACTGGACTGTGTGGTCCTGCTGTTGATCCAGGTGTGTGACTTAAAAACTACCTGTATAATAATTACCTGTATAATAATTACATGTATAATAATTACCTCTATAATAATTACCTGTATAATAACTACCTGTATAATAATTACATGTATAATAACTACCTGTATAATGATTACCTGTATAATAACTACCTGTATAATAATTACCTGTATAATAATTACCTGTATAATAATTACCTGTATAATGACTCCTTTCTCCAACAGACTCTGTTTCTTTGCCGTCATTACGAAGTAGTGCGTGTCGTCTTTATAGTAAACGATGTTCTCCAGATCGATGCCTGAAAGAAAGAACCTGATGAGGTCAGACGTTCCAGCTTGAGAAGAACCTTTGTATTAAATGTTCGTACCTGTTTCCTGTCGTAGTTCCTGGAAGAACCTCTGGTTGAAGATAGAAGCCACTCCGCTGATCTCCTCCACTTTGGCCTCAGCCGTGGTGTTTCGGTTCTTAAAGTTTGCTGTGATGGCGATCGCCAACTTCCCTCTGAACTCTTTACGCCGGAACCCTGCTCACATAGAAAGGGTTACTGTTAGAAGATTTGAATTATTATATTATATTATAAGGAAACCTTGGAGTATATGTTTACTGCTATTTAAGATGTAGCTATCATTTAGCATGTTAGCGAGCTTTACACAAAACACTTTTCTTTAGTCTGTTAGACTCAGCTTGGTATTGGTACTTTAAGGAGGACAGAGTCGGACTGTCGGTGTACCTGGCAACGTGTTCCTGCGTCCATCTGCTCCAATGATGACATCAAACTCCAGCTGAGTGACGGGATGAGACTTTGGTTTCACCGCCACCCTCCAGCCCACCTCTGCACAGGCAGACAGACAGGTGAACAGGCAGACAGGTCATCGGTCCTCGTGCTTTGTCTTAAAACTTTTCATCATCAATCAACAGTTCAACAACTTTCACATCTTTAATTTCAGAGACTGTAACTGCTGTCGGTGCTCAAGAACCAGCCAAAAACTTCAACTGATAACTGACCCTTTCTAAGCCCCGCTCCGTTTTGCTCAGTGCTCCAATAACAGTTGAGCTACCCTCAACTTCCCCCTTTCCTGTACTTAGATATGCTATATGCTAGGCTAATCTATGTTGAAAAGACAACCACACTTCGATGGTTAAAAAGTGAGAGACATATATAAAGTCACATCTTAAGTTAGCTAGCTAACTAGCCAATAATTCACATCAATTATTGGCTAGTTAGCTAAGTTTTGTTACAGAGCCAAACTAGCCATTAATGTAGATGAACTACCTAGTTAGCTTGTGTCTTGCTACAGAGTAAAGTAAAGTACAGGAAAGGAGAAAGTTGACCGAGGCTTGCTCAACTGTTATTGAAGCATAGAGCAAAAAGGGGCGGGGCTTAGGAAGAGTCAACTCAACTGATTTCACAGTTGGCAGCTTAAAGTTTGATTTTCTAGTTTTCTAGTAGTTCTCACTGTGTCTCTGTTGGTCTTCTGGCGGCTCCACCAGGTTTTTAAACTCCACATTGACATGGACTTCGACCCCCAGCAGTAAGGCGACCTTTAGCAGGACCAGCTGCAGCTGACGGATACCTGCAGACAGGAAACAGGTGGTTCTGACTGGAGGACGCGGCTGTTGTGATAATACGGGTGTAATGGATCACAGACTCACTTATGTGGTCGATGGAGCCGGCGCAGAACTTTCCGTAGAACTTTTTGGCCCCGAGGCCCCGCAGGTCGTGGATGGTGTAAGGCCACAGGTGGAGCACGTTGTTCCTGGAGAACGAGTCTCTCTTCTCCAGCAGCACCACTCGAGCTCCCATAAAGCTCAGCTCCACCGCCGCCCTCAGACCGCAGGGCCCCGCCCCGATTATCACACACTGCCCAATCAGAGAGAGACACACTGAC